AAAAATAAAAAAATACTATATGACTGTATTTATGAACACTTTTCTGGAATATAAATTGAAGAAAGTGCATGTACTATTTGCATTTGTTGACACTAAAATCAAGATGTCACTTGAATCACAAAGCATCCAGTTGCATTTCTCATGTGGTCAATATTATATTTTGTTTTCAATCTTTAGTTTCATGGGGAAATTGTTGTAAAAGGCATATATTCTGTAAGCACATTTTGACTTGTAGTCTGCTTAGTGTGAGGTGTAGTTCCTTTGGGGCCAAACCTAACTGTTGCCACTCATCTTATTTTTTTACTAGTTCACCAATCAGACAGCAAGAATTTATTCATTTGCATGTGAAATCAATCAGCGTGACTTCAAATATTTAAAATTGTTTCGACAAAAACTTAAATAAATGGCTAAGAATTTGCGTACGTGATACCTATTTTGGTCCTTTTGCTGGCTAATACTGGATACTTTTTTAAAAAGTTTTTTAATTGATGGAAACACTTGGCAGGAAATGTTTTAACGGCATTTGTAAATAAAGTAAGTTAGGTAGCAACAGCTAGGCGTGTCGCAATGTAATGTACTAGGTACTATATTCTTATAAAAGAATTAAGACAGACCAGTGAATTCATTATRATAATAATACAAAAGAGTGGGTGATGATACATGGTTTGAAATGACAGATAATGTGTTCATTGCTTTTGCAGAAAAGAAGGCTGAGATTCTTGCTGAGMGAGAGAAAACTGCAGCCCAAGCAGCTTTCACCACCTTAGATATTGATGAAAGTGACAGGTACACACAGAAGCAGTGAACATTATACATGATGACTGCACAAATTAGTTTTCATAGTTTGGTCATACCTTGTTTCTGGCCCAACATTAGACATAAAGTTTCCAATCCTTGACATGCATTGTCCGATTACCAGCCGTTATTTGTAACCCTGGCAGGGTAATTTAAACTACTGTGATTGGTCGATTGGTGGTCCATTTCCTATAGTACAGATGCTGCACACAGTTTAAGAGTGACATACTTTTTGAGTTGAAGATTTAATTTTAGTATTTTTACTATGATCAGTGTTGCAGTGAATGAAATCATGGACACAAAACACCTTGATAAAGAATACACAGCAGAAGAAGCCAAGGTAAGCAACTGTGTAGTTGTAGTTCCAGATATTATCCATACCATACCCCCATCCATAGGGTGGGTGG